AATACAAATAAGCATGACCATAACAACCCTAACCAAATTAGATTTTTGTAGCATTGTACAGTAGTTATGGAATGTTATAGTATTTGGTGGTTGTGGTGGTGGTGGTGGTGGTGGTGGTGGGTGCTTTATAATGATGTAATTTACCCATTCCATTGCGTGATGTGTATATGTTCTCATAGAGGGTGTGCTCCTTCTAAATCTGCCTCCGCCCTTAGTAATTTCTGTTACTCATGTTGTATAACTACAGTATATTCTATAAAGTATACATTTTGGTGATAGAGTCAAATTTTCCAAGTTTTTGACAGCCCCAAAAAAATCTGCATCACAAAGTTCATTTACATGTAGTGTTAAATTAATCACTGATCTTTCACAAATTGTGCATCCATCTGATTTTCTTATATCTTTTAGTTTTTTCCAATATTAACAACATAGAGAGATAAGAAAGAACTCCCGTGTGCTGAAGGTATTAGAGGCTGAAGTACAAACAAGGTATACTGTTTTTCCTTTATTAGAAACACATATTCAATACACATAAAGCAACAATTGTATTTATTACATGCAAAATCATTGAAATATGTCTTATTTTGACCACAGACTTGTCTTTGTCATTTATATTAACAGTAAACACATGTGCTTATAATAGAGCAAATACAGCATTCAAAAAGCAATGAGTAGTGTGGTTCTAAGTAGCTGCATGTATGGTTTAACAATTACCGGTATAAATATTTAATGAATTAATGACCATATATGATGACTTGATATTTTGGTCATATATCTTATCGGACAACAAAATTATAACTCCAGATGCAATTTCCCTACCTGCAACAGTACTTAAAAAATTACATTTATGCATGGAGGTCACATGACCATATATTGTCATCTGATTCATATCATTGTCAGATGCCTTCATTAAAGCACTGGTTGCATGCGACTGCAGCAGTGATTAGTATATTACAGTTGAGCATAATAAGAAGGACACATGACATTAATAACAGGTAATTAATATGCGTGGCATCTATGTACCAAGTTTTATTGAATCTGATGAGTGGTTAAGATATTGGTGAAAAAGTTAAATATTAGCTAATGAATATGTAAATTAGGCTATTAATATGCACAGATTTTAACCAAAAACTAATCAAGCCCATTATTCCAGATCATCTATGTACCAAGTTTTATTGAAATCTGTTTAATAGTACGTGAGAAACATGTACATGTATACCCATTCCTAATACAGTAATGCACCGACCTCCGGTACGTGCATCCTGTTCACGTAACATTCAAATACTTAATTTTAGTCACTTCAGGCGCAAAAGTGTTATCACCGCACAATGAACGAAAAAGTATGCATAGCTCCTTTGTTGTCATTTCGGACTGTTTTCTCTCATGAAATTATTACTACAGTAGTAGCAGGGAAAAAGATGTATGATAATATACTCAGTATGCATCAATTTCCACTACATGCTGGTCGATACGATCACCGTTCTTCCTTCATGCATACTTAGCGGTATTCTTGTAATTACCTCATAGTATTAGATGTACGATAGATACATATATGCCTATGGCAATGGCAGCATTTTAAGCTGCATAATGAATGCAATATTACAACCACTGCCCCTGGGTATCACACATAAATTTGATTCACTAGACAAACGACCTCACTTTTGTATTTCAAGACTCCACTGTCTTGGTATAATGTCTTCTTCAAAACAAAGTTGATACTTTTCCGAGATATTAACTATTTTCCATGGTTATTCCCACAATAGTAGTGTTGACACTACATGAAGTACGGGGTAAGATTTAAGCTAATCTCATATGTTTCCATATCGGATAGACCCAAATGCGTTCAAGCACGGGAAGAATCTTGTTAAGAATATACCGGTACAAAAAATCTTCAGTCATTTAACTATAATTACTAGTACAGTAACTAGGAAAGTATATATGATAGTTCTACGGTTATAAAACAATACCAAAGCAAATTCAGAAGTGCAAATTGCAGAAAAATACTAAGTAGCACAGATCGAATCTCGTCATCAGTTCTCTTTATATGTGTTTGTGTTGATATTCATGTCAGAAATGGCATACCGAAATGAATAATCATGAATACAATAGTAAATCTTCCAAATGAACATTGAATACAGTGGCGTTTTGGGTGCTCAGCCAGAGCTAAGCATTCATGCACGCTTCATTAGCCAGTGCTAAGGATCTGGATCACGTCAGATATAATCCGTACTTGCTGTTTCTTAGCTCGTGGCTAAGCCTTCACACGTGTTTTCTTAGCCCGAGCCAAGGAGCTTTGCATGAATGCTACTTATGTTCTTGCATGACACAACCATGGTACCGGTAGTTTATTTGGTTGTTGCCAATTACAATTGTTATTATCTTGCTACAGATCTCATGCAGGTCAACCCATGGACTCTACATACCAACTTATACAAGCATTTTTTTAGAAGTTAAAAGTAGCATGTAAAAAATATTTGCTAGAAATAGAGAACTTAAAATATCATCACAAAATGAAAAAATTTACAGAAGTCCACAAAGGTACCTACATAACCAAGTATCAAAGCAAGTGAGCTAGTAGTTTTCAAAAGGAAGTCAAAAATATAATTTTTTACCAAGAATGACGAAAATAGTCAAAGAACACCTGTATGAACAGCTCCCCTCTGTCTTCTTCGATGACAGCGGAGCTAAAACATACTGTCTTTCTGTAATTATAAATATTAACTTTATATGGGGTGCTTTGTTTGTGAGTAAAAAAGACGCTCAACTTGTTATTTGCAATTTTTAATAATTCATATTTAAAGTCATTTATTAAAACATGAGTGTGACTGGATACACTTCTTTTCAGTTATTATTAAATGTACTATATTAATCCCAAGGTCCCTTATAGATTATGACATGGATTGTAGGAAAGTTTCAAAAAAGTGCAAAAATATATGGTACCTCAGTATATTTCAGCGGAAACAAATTTCTGGTGAATTATGATTATTACATATTGGATTAAATATTATTTGAAAAAGAATGAACAAAATTACTTGAGTCATCCCGAGCGCAAGTGTTTAGTGTTGATGCAATCATGACAGACATGACAGACAGACATGTAACATGCTAAAAGAAACAGCTTATCAAATTTATACTGTGCATTGACAAGAGATTTTTTTTTCAACCCCCCAAGCATAATGCCCTCCAAAGTTCAAATGGTAAACCTCTTAGTGATGGATTATGGGATACATGCATGTCAATAAACCCCCTGTTATACCAGTATTGGAAGGCAGCCAGTGTTTATCAACACAACATTCCACTTATGTAAAAGGTATGTGTCTGTATGAAGAGGAATGGTCCGTGCACATAGACTAAATATATTATCAATTGATGACACAGCATATAGTACTTTTCCAAAATTGCATTTTTTAACATAAAAAATCTTATAAAAATCTGAGAGAGGTCCACATTTAGTATCTATATATGTGATATCAAAGCAATCAGACTTGCGGTTTTTGACAAGAAGTCGAAAATATCACTTTTTACTAAAAATTACAAAAATATCCACCAAAATTAGAGAATAAAAGATATCATCATGAAATGAACAAATCTAAGAGAGGTCCACTCAAAGTACATATATACCAAGTATCAAAGCATTCAGGCTTGTAGTTTTCAAGAGGTCATCGAAAAAGTAAAACATTGACATGGACGACACCGACAATCAATCATATGATAAGCTAAAAATAGTTTAAAAACAAAAAAATACTTTATGATATATATATGAAATATACAAAGGTGTGTTTACTGAATAATTATTGTTGTTTCTGTGTCATTTTTAATTATAGTTATAAAATTTTCCTGTCATTTGTACATTGTAAATGAACCTTATTTTTTTACAGGATTCCACATAAAATGTAGGATGAGGTGACATTAAATATACAACTGGCATTGTAACTGTTGTACTGGAAAACATGATAGACATAACAACACCTCAACTAAATCTCAGGAAATTAAAAGAATCACTGTATATGCAGTTTTGCAACATTTTATGTTGATCTAAACAGACAAAATTTATCATCGCTTACAGATTTTCCATATATTAATACAAGTCAGACCACATAAAGAAACAGATTAAAGCTTACATCAGAATGATAAAAATCTGGAGTAGGTAGACTCCATTCCTCAATATTTCATTTGAATAGATGAATTTTCAGTTCACTGCGAGATCCAGCATACTGCGCGAGAGAGACAAGGGCCGAACATTTAGTGCAAAAATTGAAAAATGTGATTTTAAATTTCCTTTTGTATAGCTCAATGTCAGAATGCCGATCTTTGAGGAAGGAATATTGTGTTGAGATACCATTACTTCTCCAAAATTGACTATCATCAAAAATGAGAATACCCCAAAAAATGTATTTGTTTATTTTTTTTTTGTTTAATTTCGCGCATAACACAGATCTCACAGTGTGAAAAATGTTCTTGTAGCATTTTGCATCTTTTTTCATTTTTGTTTTGTTTTGTTTTTCTGTATCATATAAAAGAAAACTAATAATGTCAGAAGAAAATGTAGTGACTGGCTCTAATTATTAAAGATGGACACTTCCCCCAGATACTTGTAGGAAATTACAATTTCCGATTCCTATTCAGTACATAAGTGAGTCTTCAATACACTAACTATGACTGCAGGGGAGATGTTTTTTGACATATCATGTTTCTCTCTATAACTCATACATGGTATGAAGAAAAGGCTGTTTTATTAGTTTGTGGAACATAATTTTTTTTATTCTAAGAGATTTCAAGAAACGATAAATAATTAAAAATTTAACTCATGAATCTATAACAATTTGGAAGAATTCTGATCGATTTTAGATACTCCATATCAAATATTTAAGAATCTGAAAATGTGTTGATGTATTCCAGAATAGATTATTTTACCGTTCTTTATCTTAGTGTCATCAAACAGTACGTCACTACAAGTAGAACATCGACAGAAAAAAAAAAAAAACAATCCACAAACTTACCAATCTTTGCATAGCTAGCAAAAAGCACCCATAAGGATATCAGGTAAGGTGTCTCAACGTGCCACCAGTTCAACTCTGCAACAGGGTATCTTTCGTATGTTTCGCCATGATGACCGTCGGCGTCACCATCCTCGCTGCGACTTCCAAGTTCATTGTCATCAGAGTCCGTAGTTGGTACGACATGGTAGACGACGCCCCCTGATGATGCATTTTGGACAAGTAATACCTCCCGAGCAGAAGCTACAGCAGTGTGACCCAAAATTAACATCAACACGGAAGCTAAACACTTCATATCCAGTTTCACCAGAGCCATGAGTCTGTTCACAGCATCTTACAAAACGAAAACAGCCACCGAATGTAAATATACAACACGCACGACGAAAGAACTTAGTCCATCATGAGTGAAATAACAATCCGATACGTAATCATTGACTTAGGGGGCATTTGTTTAGGTTTTTAAAAAACATAACTCCTTAACTTTGTCAACTGGTAAACGATTTGGCGCTAACATTTGTAAAAGCTTCACTGGAGCTTGTTCCGGAAACTTGTTGAACGCATTTTGCGTTACTAGTATATACTAATAGCAGAATAATATTTTAGACATATATCGACAAATATATGTTGTATACTTAAATTTTCCGAAGGAAGTTTTTTAAAGCTTGCCTAAAAAGAGTGGCATGCTTCAACGCTAGATGGCGCAACACAGGTAATTCAGCTTACAATAGTCACAAAACTGAGAGCCGGACAAGGAGGCTTGTCGAGGCTGATATCTGTGCGGCGACTAGTACCCATGTCATAATAACGCTGACTCAATGGAGGAAGTACATGTGATGCAAACAAATTTGTTCCCACCAAATCAGAAAAGGAATGAGTGAGCACTTGTTTGTTCTTATGAAACTGATCGAGACCCACAGTTGAAGGTGAATCTTTTCATGGACATAATTTGTTGTTTGTTTCGCATTTTCTTTCATGCATTTTTATACCACATTTTGTACAGTTTTAAATGAGTATTAAATCTAATTAGTGGGGGGCTATTTTGCTAACAAGGATTTCCCAAATTTTACTCACCACAAATTTCTATTTTGATTTATAAAAATGTATATTTATAAAACGTTTATATTGACTGCAGCATTATGTCTTACTGGAGCATATGTTTTAAATACATTTGTTTATTTATAAGCAAACTGTTAATTAAATTTCGAGTTAAACAAAACAAAAATATATATGTTGCCTGTAAATCAAAGTTTGGTTATTTAAAGTTTGAGTTACTGAATGTGGACGTTCAGCAAAAACCAAAATGTACATTGCTCGTAACTCGAAGTTCTGTTAACTGTTAATTGAACATTACACAAAAGTGGGCGTGGTTTCAAAAATATGGGCGTGGTCATTTCTGTAACTCAATGTTTTCGGAACTCAATGTTCGTAACTCAATCGCATCTCCTCCAAAACAAGACCCACACCCAAGACCAATGGCAGAGGTGGGTTAAACATCAGTCAATGCTTAATACTTGTTTCCAGAAGATGCCGTTCCCCGAAACTACTTTCTTAATGTTATTTAAGTTTTTTATTGAGCAAAATATGTTCGTATGGAGTGAACAAGGTCACAAAGCTTTGTCCTTTCAAATAAATTAATATTGTGTTCTATTTCCTTTGTTTTTCAGTTCATTGTAGCATGCAATGTTTTATAGTTATGCACACAATATGTAAACAAGTGCACAGTCTGAACCTTTCTCCTTCCCAGAGTTTCTTGCAGTTAGAACACCAAAAATCTGTCTGCTACCACACACAGCCATTTTGTGGTGAAATGCCACAAGACTTTTACTATAAGTAAACTTGGCATGTTTTTTTCATTATGCGGCTTTCTTGTTGCTTTCTTCATACTGGTTAAACAAGTTTTGCAGTATGATATGTTATTAATAGCTTATAAAGACAATGTCTTTGCTGTTACTAAGGTGTATTTCAGTTCTTCTAGCAGATCATCCTGATATTAATCAATTTAAAGGTCTGTAGACCTGTGGATTGCCATATGGAGAAATATAAACAAACAAAAGCATGTTGTAGTATTGATAGCTAACTTGTCTAAATACCACTCAGTTTGTGCTACTGAAAGTCAAAAATGAGATTTTCACTCATCTAGCATCTACCAACCGCTTTTGTTAGATTTGCAAATCAAACACCAGCATGGCTATGTTTTATTGAAAAGTAATACCACCAAGACGTATCAATCAATCATTGACGAGCATAAGATTGTGCGGTGCCAGAGATATATTCGTAGAAATAGAACTCTTAGCTTGGCTGGTTGCTGCCTCAAGTGCCATGGCACACCGAAAAATAGACACAGAGAACCAGCAAGAAGATTGGGCATGAACATCCCTAATGTTTATGCCTCGTCGTCAGAGGACGCTGTTTCCTCAAACTACTTTCTTATTGTTATCAAGTTCTTCCTTGAGCAAAGTTTGTTCTCAAGAGGTAAACAAGATCACACAAAGTTACCCCCTTTTCAAATAAGTTGTAGGTTTCAGTATAAATTATTTTTGTCCGAGTATTTCATAGGGTTGTAGCAAGTCAATCATTAAAATCATCATACAAACAAATTTAGGATGTGTGGTGGACTCTACTCCAGCATTTGTAATCGCTGCCGCCGGATCTTTCTCGCATTTCATTACTTCCCCCACAGCGCAATATTGGATGAGAAGATGGATCTTCAACAACATAATGTGTGGAGCAAAGCCAAATACATGTACATTATAACATCTAGACCTTTCTTTAAATCCAATATGATGCTGTGGGGGATTTATTATTGTTGATATAAATCACCACCATCAAAATTGAACAAATTTACTTCAATGTTTTTTTTTTATGAAATTAATTCACTCGTGGTTCACTGGTACATTATTATGTGGTAATGTAAAACCGTGATGATAGTGGTGATTTATAATAAACATGTGGTAGGCTCTACTCCTAGCCCTTGTAATTACTGTTGCTGGGTCTACTGGTTGGCAAGAACCGGTCATTGACACCCAAGATAAAATAATGGTATTTTCTGCTGTTTACAGGCATCATTGTAACAGCAGATTGCTGATCAGTTAGGCACATTTTTTGCAAACTGATTGGCAAAATTGTAAGCATATCATTTTAAAAGTTGACATTTTACCCACCACTTTTCAAGAAAATACAATCGATATGTAATTTCATATTATTTTATTACTTATAATTTCCTTTTTTCAAAACAAGTTCAAATATAAGAAGAAAGAATACACACAAAGTCATTTTATAATGAATATCTATGATCATATTGTTAATATGAGATATTTGTTAATCTGGGATACATAGTCTATATAATCAAAGCATCAAAAAACCCACACATTTGTGAACCTAGCCTAGAACATCTGCTCATTCCTGAATTCCTGACAGTCACACAATGATTATGAAGAGGGTTAGCTGATTGAAGATATCAATGAATGCAAATGTTTTTCTAAAATACACCCACAACACCATTCCAGAAATGTACTGAATAGATGCACATTTGCTACGCTATTATTTTGATACTGGATTTTAAGACAAAACCACGCTTGAAGTGAGCGTACATTCTAGGCTAAGGTTAAAATACAAAAAAAGAAAAGTAGTTATGTGTGATGAATAAGTGACATATTATGTCATGAATAATATATGTAATATCAGTAACCAGTAGAGCTCCCCGATCCTATGTTGTATACATTATGCGCAGGTACTTTACTAAAGAGAGTTAACCCTTTAAATGCAAATTTTGTATGCGTATTTCTGTAATTTTTTTGTTTGTTTTGGACTATGTGTTCATATAAATGGACAGGCTGGCTACAGGTCTTGATATAGCCCCGCTGTTAATGTTGCACATTTTGCAAGCAATCTGTATCACAGTATGGGAAAGAAGTCCTATGCACAGAGTGAATGGAAGGATTCAATGTAGGAGATATTTGTAATAATACAAGTTAAGAATAGCGTATTAAACAAGAATTCTATTAGGTGGAAATAAATATTTTAGGATGCACAAAGTAGAAGCCATATTATCACTTAATGTCTTGTATAATAAACACATTTTTTTTCATAAACTAAGCATTAAAGTTATTAAATTGTTCATATTCTAAAATATTGTTTTAAAATTTGACATTCACACACTGATTAAATAACGAAAATATGTAGCCTGTTTATTTTTAATGTGGGTCGGTTACCGAAAAAAATTATGGAATTCATTTTTTGATCCAATATTGAACTTTTGATGGTTTTCTTTATTTTGGGAAAGTTTACGAAATTTAATTTGGCATTCAAAGGGTTAAGCTGCAACTTTTACATACTACATACCATTAGCAATAAAATAACAGTCAAAATTTAATTCAAAATAAAAGAATGCTTAGGACAAAAATATACAGTTTTGATAAAATATCAAAAGAAACCTAAATAAGAAAATCCATCCCGAATATTGCAAAAGATAAATATTAAAATGTTAAATAAGTGAAAAACTGGTACTACTAAAATACAAATTTGCAAGGTATTATTTTTCAATATTTTGTTAATATTTAAAAAAAAATATTCAATTCTTTGTCTTATTTTTTCACAAGTAAACATTTTATTAATGATCCTTTTTTTTTTTTATAAAACTTGTTATGAAGAGAAGGCTAAAAGAACTTGAGCAAATCAGTTTTAAATGAATCCACTCTTCAGTATAGCCATGATTACTAGTAAACTTGTAACCGTGTGTATAATACACATTTAGTTGGATTTTCACTTTTCTATGGATATATATAGATTATAATTAGATTTGAATTTCAATTAAAAAATTAATGTAAATTATAAATCTTGTTTTCGTGAATATAAATGCAGAAACCTTGGTTGAAAGACAGTCTATGGAGCGCCCTCTATGGAGACTTGTAAATATTTACTGATTATAAACGCTGTGATATTAAGTCTCAGTGTGAGACGTATATTTACAAAACCAAATTAGCAAATTATTGCACAGAATCAATCACCATATTTGACTGTTTACCACAAGAATCATAGATCAACTCAGATTTATTGTAGTATTAAACAGCATTTTCATTTCCATTCATCTGGTGATATTCTTCTTAAAAATAACTGCAACAAAATATCGTATTTTTTTTTTCTTTTTCACTAGTTAGCAAGTTCTAAATGAAAAAAGCAGGAAGGGATGGAAATAGTGAATAGCAAATGTTATATAATCTATTTAAGACAACAACAGGGGGAGAAATGATCTGTGATTTAGTCTTTATCTATACATCATCTGAAAGCTTAGGTATAGACGAATACAGTAGTGCATATGTCGTACTAATGTGTGTCTACAGGATTAAGCGTAGCATGTCTGTAGTTATTTAATCATAGACAGAAAACAAAGACAGATTCAGAAAACTCAATTTTATAAACTCTGAATCACAGATCAATTTTTAACATGTTGTTGCTATCTTAAGTAGGAAAAATAGAAAAACAATACCTAGCAAAAAAACACGCACATGATCCTATTAACAGCGTTAACATTTATGAACCTACTCCATAAACACACAGGAACGGTAACACACAGAATTCCATGATTGTACATGTACAAAACAATGTACACCTTCTTGCAACATTTACGGTTAAGCTGGCAACTCGTGTACACATTTTGTAGTACATTACAAACAGAGCAGCAACAACTACCTGAAGCTCCTTGGGTAAGCAATGTTTTATTCAAGTCGAGTTTATGGAGCAGAATCAAGATCTTCTAAAATCTAGTTTAGGTCTCATTTACCATGCATTATTAGTTATTCATTATAAAATGAACTAAAACAAATTTCAAATTTACAAACCTGAGTCATTGATTTGTTATTATGTTACTATTTTCAGATATAATGGTATATTTTCATGATTTTCTCATTATTCTATGAAAACTGAAAACAGTCAAATCATCTCAAATAATGGCATCAACACGCGTTACATTATTTCAGTTGAAAAGTCATATATATATCAGTGATGAATGAAATGTGATACCGGTACACAGACAGGTATACTGCTGCAGAATACCAACATTCAGCCTGAAATAACTATGTAAAAACAATACATGCCATTTAGTGCATAGCTGAATTAGCAGTATATTAATGTAGCTAATCTTATTGTAATATTAAACATAGTGAAGCTAAAATGAGAATTCTCGTTTAACACTCCACCTATACCATTCATATCGACATTCATGGCAATTTTCAGGAAGTCACCTTGTGGCAGTATACTCTGCTATTATAAGCGAGTCTGTCTTTCCAACACATGTACAAACAGACTGGATTAGATGATATTTGTATATTTATGTAGCGCATAAATCAAACCATAGTCCTGTTATAAAAGTGCTGCAATGTATTCATTGTAAACATTCACATACAAAGTAACAGTGAGAATGCCGAGTACAAAACAGGAGTTGTACATGTAGATGTCAATGCAAAGTTACATATTAAATACAGTTTACATACAACTGTGGTTGTTAGCCATGTTAATTCTTCCATCTTTCCAACGTGGATTTTCTTTTGCTAATTTTAATATAAATTCTGATTCTTACTGGTTATGCGTTATAAAGAAGATTCAGCATTAAGAGGAGTCTGACCATCAGACGAACGAAAATCCACACGTAGTTGGTCTTGCGGATAATCATCTTTATTAGACATTTTGATATCAAGATCTGCTGGTGTTGATGTTCTTTGGGGTACAAGTGGAGACATTTCAACTATGTGACTGTCCTTCTTGAACAGTGGGTTGTCTTCACCTTCTGAATCTAGCAAATAGAAAGTGAATCAGATTTGAAATATTTGCAGTACAATGAAAAAAAGCAACAGTTTGCGTTGTCTTAATTACCACAGCCTTTATAATGTATATTACACATACTGTAACTAAAATAACTAATTTTGAACATTTTTTAATGAATTAACAAAGAAAATGTGAAAGTTCACAAATGTCTTGATGGTTTCTGTAATTCAATTCAAAGCTGCAATATACATCCTATGAATAAACATTGCTATAGAGAAAGACAAATGCATGAAGTCGAAACACTTCCAATAACAAAATATCATTAGGAATATAGATAGCTGCATTAAATATGCGCTTTATTGCTAGCTATAATGCTTGGAATAAAATGCAAAGAAATAGGATTATGAAATAACTATGATGGCACAAGCTGTTAGTCAGGATGTATGATTGATTATGACTCTTTCACTCAACTTACAGAACAGTATCTTCAATAACTAGAAATATAAATGTGCTATAAATTTGAACCACTCATTACAACAAAAGAATGCCACCTGTCTTCAAATCACTACAGTTTTGGAAATTGATTTATTTTAAATTGAACCATTCCAGTTATGTGGACGGTTCTTCAAATGTGTTTGGACAAAAGAACACCAATTGTCACTACTAAACGCAGAAAGTAATAATCTAAATTTGAATCATTCATCAATATTATCAGAGACATTGTAGACTGCTCTGAAAAGTAAACTGCTAAATTATACAACTTCACTGCATGAATATTAACTGTTCCAAATCTAGGCTACCTAAGATGTTCAATAATAGAACAGACACCAGATATAAAAAAAATTGAAACTAGAAGACTGGTTCAAAATCTCCGTTTTTAAAGTCTTAAATTTTCTTCCTTTAATTGTGTTTTGGTATCCTGCATCACAAACTGGTCAATATTATTTTCTCACCCGAATATTCGTCTTCCATCAGATCCAACAAAGGTGTTTCATTTAAAAGAGCCCTAGTATTCAAGTCTGGTAGAGTGTTCCTGGATCTGGCATGTTGCTCATACTGCTGTTGATGCTCTATACAAAAAACTTGCAAGTCAGCAGATTTTTTTTTTTTTTTTTTTTCAATTATTTGTGAATTAATTGCGACTATCATGCAAACTTTAACAAAGAAAAAAAAATAGCAAACCAAAAAATAAAACTATAAATTGAAGGAAATCACAAAAGGAAATCAAATTAATAAAAACACTTTACTTGCGTGTCAAACTACAAATAACTGCACAACAACGCTAAGCATACAACACAAACAAATACTGACTTGATCAGGCGATACATTCCAACCATTAGTATGACCTGCATATTATTTTGAAACAACAATAACACTAAATAAAAACAACACGTCTAGAAACAAGTATTTGGGCAATGAATTGGGAAAATTAAAACAGATTTATTTTTTCCTAAACTTTCACCAACATAGGAAAACATGTACAGTACAGCAAGTATGGCAAAGAAGCATGGTTGAATAAAATAGTTAGTTGTTATATGAGTAATGAAAATTACATCCAGAACCACCACAACAAATTATGCCACCTTTTACACACTTACCAGTAAGCTGAAAATGTGATGGTTTGTCATGATGACGATGATGATGATGGCGATGATGATGATGTCTACCATCTGGATTACTTGTCTTGTCTTCATCAGCATTGTGTCTGTGTCTGTGATGATGACCAGAACGGTGCTTACGTCCTCCACTCTGATGCCTATGATCGACATCATCTTTGTCATCATCCTCATCCTCTACATCTGCATCTGCATCACTATGGTGATGGTAGTTATGGAAGGCTGGGATGGCATGATCATCATCCTCAATAATTTCCCCATGAGGTTGTGCATAGGTTAAGTCATCATGGTGAACCGGATCAAAAGTATGATGTTCAATATTTCCCGGATGTTGACCGTAGCTTCGCCGATCTATTTTAGGACTCGGAATAGGTTTTGAAGCTTCACCACTGCCAATTGAAAAAGTAATCCCTGAATCAGATTCATCACCTCCCTCATCGGAAACAGGTTTCCCAGGTGATGTGGGGTTGTTATCCTCATCTTCAGAACCAACAGGTGTACCAAACTGCCCATAGGATTCTGTCCTAGCTCTGTCTGAAAGTCTGGGCTCACTGTACTGCTTCCAAGGAAGTAGACATTCGGCAGCTGTTGGAACAATCGGCTCTTTAGCTGTAGTGGGGCCATCCATTTCTTCATCATAGTCAGCACCTGCATCAACAAAAATAACATTATTATTATTATTATTATTATTATTATTATTATTATTATTATTATTATTATTATTAAGATAACAAAGATACTTCTAACTTCACTATTTTTGTGAAGTTGCATTTTATTTCAAGCCATTATTTTCATGCAATTTAAAAACATGCTTTAGAATATAAATATCAAAAACTTTGTGATGTATAAATGAGGTTCACACATTGCCATACAACTTTCAACACACATTTTTCAAGACATGTTTGTGATATACAATGTAAATAAGAATACATGAAAATCAAACCAACATGAATGCCAGTGAACATTTTGATTTGCCAGTCGGCCAAATGAGTACATCAGTAACCTACTATGAGTAATATTAATATCAAGTTCAATGAAACCGACCCAGGCACACCTGAAGAACAGTTGAAGACACGTTGAAATGTTTTGAGATGAAAATGACGCAAATCAGACGAAGGTCAACGAAATGAAAAACAAATCAATGTGCATAAATATACCATTATGTACAGTCATTGTACCTCCTTTGAACAAAATTAGCCCATGCATGGATAGACGCAGACACTAAATGATGTGATATAAAAATTTAGGCTGATTAATTTAAATTACAATAAAAGATTATTAGATTACCGGTATACGTTTTTATATATATTTTACGTTACAGTTCTGAAACTTGAAATGAGTGATGATGTATTAAAGCATTCTTTATCACAGAAATCATGCATTGTCCTAAATATACAGTTGCTTCATCAGCAATTTGTTTCTAAAAAAAAAAACGCAATGTGCTGGCAGCGTACATGTAGATTTCACACACCAACTGTGAGCATTAGTAATGAAAAAATGTAATAATGGCGACATCCAAGGAAAGCATCATGAGACTGTGGAGATGAAAGCAAGCTCAGATGCCTTGAACACATACCTAGAGGTAAATCAACTCCAGCTATTATTGATACATTTGCAGAGTCAGTAGTGTTGATGTGATTACGCACTGTCACATGCAGTGCATCTGTAATAAGTACGTTAATCAGTACAGATGAAAATTAAATGTACCGTATTTGCTCTATTAGAAGCACATCTTCAATGGAAGTGCATATAAACCAGCATATGCTTGTTTTGTATTCGAGATAATTAAAATATTACTTATTTTTCCCTCGACTAACACACCTGTACTTAAGAGCATGTACTTCTAATAGAGAAAGGTATGTGCATAATTTGATATTATAAGATATTTTACTCTGCTGTGCATACCAATTACTAGTGATATTGATACAATTTAATTCGCATGCATTTTTGGTTGAAATCTTAAATGCATATGAATGTTATAACAATACCATGCAATTATCGCAAAATATGCAGTACATGCAGTACAGCAATCATATCGCCCAAAGTTTCCCTACTGCGAAAGTGCATACTATGAGGTTATTATGAGGATATCTCAAAGTATGCAGGAAAACAGTACAGCGGGAGTATTGACTGACGCGCAACGGAGGCCGATGCGATGACATACTGTCTGAGTGCATACTTTGAGGAATCCTCGTAATAACCTTATTATACATTTTTTCCTTCCAAGGATACACACTGGGAATGCCGAAATTCAAAATGTTTAGAACAGAATCAGCGAACTTCTTTGTTCTGAGCCCGGCCAAACCCTGGTGGCAGCCATGTCAGTTTTTATTATTAGAGGACGCTTATGTGAGTAATCATTCCATATTTTAATTCGCATTTCCTTATATGGTAGGATGAAAATACCCTGTAAAATACTGCAAAATTACAGCATGCTGTACGGCGACAGATGTATAATAATCTGTGTTATTCTTGTGATAACCTTGTGATTATTAATAATAATAATATTTACATGTACAACCTTTTATGATATGGTAAATTCTAGATGTACAATAATGAATTATATCAAAGCAACAATATCACTAACAGTTTTGCTGAATCCTTGAAGGCGAGTGTCTTTAACAAGTACTCTCCTCAGCATATTAATATCTAATTTGCATATTGCTTGGGCAATACTGAGTATATGCCTGCAACAGAAAGGGGGAGGGGGCAAAGTTTGCCTCAGTTTTTCATAAGTTGAATATATATATATTATTTCACTAACATTAGCATGTTTGTCAATGCGAATAAACATTGATATACATGTATTTCCTTCTTGCAGTACATGGTAAGATAAAGAACCCAAAACTCAGCAATTGTAATAATAGAAGTCATATCTATTTTTTTGAAAATTCCAAGCACGGCATTTCTGTAAAACCACCATGCTTTGAAGGCCTGGGAAGAACACTAAGCAACCAAATGTATTTGACGTTCATTTCACTGAACACGAGAACTAGTAAAATTAAGAATAAAAACAAAAGTTTTTACCTGGAGTAGCTGAAAATATTATACCACCTTCTTCATCAGAACTATTCTCTTCTTTCAGTGTTGGCTCGATGTGAAAAGATGGTGGATCATCTATATAAAAAAAAAAAAAAAGCATACTTTTTAAGGCAATCATTTTTTAAGGTAACAAGACATGCCACAGTTCTGTCGTTTTCATTAAAAAAATATATATTTATTAAAGTGCATGTATACATATCTGTATTGATACGTGCATCGAATATCTCAAATATCTCTATTTTAATCTATTACGCAAAAAATTTGAACATCCATCAATGAATACCTAAAATAAGGTTCCACAAAGGCCTGATATTGTTTATTCTGATTGACACTTGATACATCCATACATGGACATATACATACATGTTGGTATTATATTGGCCTTTTTTTACCCGCTTTGCCCAAGGGGGCCAAAAAGCTAGTGACATGCCAGGAACCTTCATAAAATCCTATATCCCATGGTTAATAATAGCACAATATAACAATTATTAACAATGACGACGACGATGACAACGACAACAATGACGACAACAGACATTTCCCTTAATAAACCTTTCCCTTCCATCTTTGACGATACGAACAAGGTAATAAAACTTACCTGGGAATGGAATGTCCATACTGAAACTAACATTTTTATGTGGTCCTTTGTGGTGATGATCTTTGTGTTCTTTACGATGATGATGATGACCGTTGTGATGTCCAACGTGGCTATGATGAGAACTATTACGTGATGGTCTATCATCTTCTGAATTCAAACTGTGATGAGAGGGTCTGTTAGCCATCCTAGCTTTCTTTTTCCTCTGTTTCATCACATGCCTCAAATGTAAATGAACACTTCTTCGCAGTAGATGGTCGTTCTTTTCAAGTTCAGCATCATGCATATTATGCCTATTCCTTTTGTAGCAGCTCTGTTGTGGACGGAAACATATAAGAGTGGCTAGTCAAAAATAATATTTTTGTTTTGTTTTTAATAATTAGAGCTTTGTTTTGAACAATGTTCATCAAAATGGTCATTTTATAGAAACCATATCTGTATCTGATTGTTCTATGGAAATTTCATTATTCTTTTTCGTGGATTCTGCAGTTAGGACACATTTTAAACTACACGAAAAAAAAAAAACTACATTTGGGGGAGGGGTCAATTAATACATGAATGATAAATATGTTCCCAGGTGGAAAATTCTGTGAAGCAGTTCTCTTTCATTACACAGAATGTAGATAAAATTAACATAGTTTTTTCTGTATCTAATAAAAACACTTGTAGGTATTACATGTTTTTATTTCAACCCTAGTACTTTAAAAAATGAATTAAAAGAGAATTACAGGCAAACAACATAATGCTCCCAGATAAAAGAGCACTACAAATGTAGAAAAATGCAATTTACAATGTGCAAAAATGATCAATCTTAAACATTTAATTACGCACACAGATAAGTATGAATGTTAATAGAACAACTTTAGATTCTAACTGATCAAGTTTTTCTTACTGAACATCAAAACATTGGTTAACAGATTTTTCTGACCATTTAAAAATTCAATGTAACAGTTTCTCTCATACTAGTAACCTATTCACATGAAAAATTGTCACGAATGTCAAACATTAAATCATGTTTATGTTGTATGTCGTGATGGTGGCGTTTTGTGTTTGTCTTACGGCGATAGATAGGCAATGTTGTTTTTGGCGATAGATAATTGTTAAATATAGAGTGGCAAGATGTTTCTTTTAGTCAGCACTAGGGAAGCGGACTTTGATAGAACCCGATCTGAACGTTCATGTGATCAAATGTGGATGTCCGATCTTGTAGGTACCACAGTAAGCCATTGAATAATATTGCATCATGGGAGTTTGTGATCTATTCTGGAGGACGTCGGTTCGCCGTTGTTGGCAGTATACCATTTTTTACGTGTCTACTAATCACGCGTTTGCAAGTAACGTTAGAACAATACACTGTGTATTGTCATACAAATTAATGTATTGTGATCTACGGAATGTGCATCATAAAGATAATTCTATTGGCCAATTCCGGCCTACTGCAGTTAACGAGTGGGGAAACTCGCCAGTGAATGACATTCCCGATTTTG